ACAATATATATATATACATATCTATGAAGCAAATTAAGCAACGCATGTGCAAAACAACATTGCGCATTCCTATTCATGGACACTCGAACTTGACGTCGCTACAAAACCGAAGGCTTTTGATGGAATTCGGCATGCGCGCGGGACGATGCGCGCGCGCGTGCACTTCGTGTGATTTTTGGCAAACTATTCTCGCGACGGCGCGCGCGCAAAGACGTTCGAGCGATTTCGACCTGCGCGCGCGTGAACCCCGCTTGGTAGCATTTTCTGAAAATGATGCAAGATCGAGGGTTTTCAAGACTTTGCAAGAGCGCGCAGGCATTTTTTTTTTCTTTTGTAAATCCGCGTTGCGAAACCATGTGTGTTTGTTTGTTTGTTTGTTTGTTTGTTTGTTTGTGTGTGTGTGTGCGTGTGTGTGTGTGTGTGTGTGTGTGTGTGTGTGTGTGTGTGTGTGTGTGTGTGTGTGTGTGTGTGTGTGTGTGTGTGTGTGTGTGTGTGTGTGTGTGTGTGTGTTTTGGGAACTCGATTTCGCAATCCTTACGAAACCTGATGTTGTTGAAGGATTTCGGCATGCGCGCGCGACGTCGCGCGCGTGCACTTCGCTGCAATGGGTTCTTGGAAACTGATGATGTTCTGATACGCGAGCGCGAGCGCATAATTTCCCCAATCAGATCTTGCCTCTGTATGGGTCCTAGCGTAGGGTCCTAGCGGATTCATATGGTTAGATTGAGTGTGTCGCCGATTTTCGCTGCGCGCCCGGGTGCCCGGGGGTGCCCGGGGGTGCCTGGGGCCCGGGTGCCCGGGGGGTGCCCCGGGGTGCCCGGGCGGCCAAGTGCCCGGGTGCCCGGATGCCCGGGCGTGCCCGGGAGTGCCCGGGGGTGCCCGGGGGTGCCCTGTAGCCCTATAGCCCAATAGCCTTACAACTCTATAGCCATATAACTTTATAGCCCTATGGCTCAACAGCTCAATAGCCCTATAGCCCCTAGCCCTATAGCCCTGACTGGGGTTTCTCTCCGGTATCCTATTTTTTTGCGGTGGGTGGCGGGGGGGTGGAGGGGGGAGACGCTGGCCCCCTGGGATGGTGTAGATTCATTGCTGGGATGGGCGATGGGGCGGAATCGCGCGTAAATTGCACAGCGAGAACAAGAAGGGGTTGGATAATCCCCGGGGGGGTTGACAAAGTCCACGCCCTTGCAAACTCCCAACCCACGCCCTTGCAAACTTCCAGCCCGCCCGCCGGGAACTTGGCCTGCAAAGCCCATGCGGCGGCGATTGCGATGCATGCTTGGCGTCGGCTGGTGCGTCTCTGAAGCCGCGCGCGCAGCGGCCGGCCAGTTTGGCGCGACCAACGCGGCCGCGGTGGAGCAGGCCGCCGGGCGCTTCCCAGCGGGCGCTTCAGAGCGAGTCGGTGACTTGGGCGAGCGCGGCGTCGCGGCGACGCCGGCGACGGCGGGCGCGACTGCGAGAGTGGCGACGGCGACGATGGCGGCGACGTCGACGGCAAGGCCAATAAAGGCGCCGATTTTGATCCCGCCCGCCGATGACGATGGCGATGTCTTCGAGTGGGGGATGGCGGTCATGGAGGGAGCTCGACGCGCGCGCGCGGCCGCGGCGCGCGCCTCCCCACCCGGAGCGCGCGCGCGAGGGCGTTCGGGCGAGTTCGGCGCGCGGCGCGAGAGGCCCGTTTGGCATTGTTTGAAAACTGACGCGGCAAGACCCCGCGTTTGTCTCTCATTTGGTTTCGGGGCGCTCGGTTTTGAAACCTTTGCGACACCGAAGGTTTGTAAACTATTTCGGCGCGCGCGCGAGGGCGCGCGCGCGCGGGTTCTCGCGATCGCGCGCGCGCAGGCGCGCTCGGGCGATTTCGTCGCGCGCGCACGAAAGGCCGATGCGAAAACATGTTAATGCAAATGTTGAGGGGCCTGTAGTTATCTTGCGGATCTGCGAGGGCGCGCGTGATTTCTCTCATTGCGCGTATATATATATATATATATATATCTATGTGCTATATATGTGAACATATATATATATACACACACGCGTATATGGCCACTCGATTTTGACATCCGCACGGGGCCGCGGGCTTCTGGGAGATTTTCGCATTCGCGCGCGACGACGCGCGCGCGCACTTCGCCCCATTTGTTGCAAGGGATTTCTGGGAACTCGGGATTTCTGATCAGCGGGCGCGCGCAGAACATTTGTTGCAAGGGATGGCGGGGGGGGTCGGCGTCGGTTGGGCCTGGGCGGCGCGCGCTCACATTTAGAATGGGCGGGGGGGCAGAATCGCACGTGAATTGCAATGCGGGAAAAGGAGCGGATAACCTCGGTGGTGATCCTAGAGCTCGGCGGTGCAATTCACTTGTGGAATTCGCAGTTGCCAACTCCACCTCTCGCGCAACCGCCCCGCCCGCCCGTCCGCAACTTGTCTTGCTAAACACGAGCGGCGGCGATTGCGTCTCTGCTGCCGCGCCGGCCCGCGCGTGCACTTGCGCGCGGCGACCAGCTAGTTTGGCGCGACCATTGTGGCCGCGGTGGCGCCGGCCGCTGGGCGCGCCCCAGTGGGCACTTCAGTGCGACTCGGCGACTTGGGGGGGCGGCATCATGGCAAGGTCGATAACAGTAGACGCGACGGTGATCGTAGCTATGCTGATGGCGATGTCGACGCCGACGACGGCGCGGCCAGTGAGGGCGCTTGGATGGAGTTCGACGCGCGCGCGCGGTCGACGCACGAGAGTGGCCCGCACGGCATTCTTGGACGCGAATCGGGACCCGCCCCCCCCCCCCCCCACCCCCCCAGCGCGCGCAAGGGCGTTCGAATGATTTCGCCATGCGGCGCGAGAGGCCCAGGCCCGTTTGGCACATGTCAATGAAAATGATGAAACACCTCAAGCCTTTTGAACGCTGACATTGCGAAGCCATGTGGTTTTTTAAATGGTTTCGGGGCACTCGGTTTTGACGCCCTTGCGAAACCTCAGGTTTTCGACGGGTTTCAGCACGCGCGCGCGACAACGAGCGCGCGTGCACCTCGTTTCAATTCTTGCAGGAGGTATTCTCGCGACAACACGCGCGCAAAAACGATCGAGCGATGTCGACATGCGTGCGTGAAGCCCGTTTGGTAGCAGGGCTTTCGTAATGTCGCCGACGAGAAATCCATGATGTCTGGGTCCTTATTCAGCTGCCCTTCCGGGAAGAAAGACAACCGATCGCCCTGCCTGAGGTGTTCGTCGACACGGCTGTCCACCTCAACAATTTTGGTTTTCTGTATACTGTGAACTTTCCGTCCTCTCCGCTTTAGAAATAGACCGGGGGAGTCCCGCAACACGTGGGATTGTTGATACAACTGGTAGCTTCAAGAATCGTTGATCCTCAGAACGTGTGTTAAAGTTAACGTGTGTTGTTCCACCGAAGCCCTTCGGAAAATTGCACGCTGTGTAAACGCACGTCTGCGCGCGTAACACGGCGTCTCGTTACTCTGGTGGATCGCAGGTGCCGCGCGGGAGGTCAAGTGCGGAAGACGCGGCTGACTCAGAGTAGATAGGCAGGAAAACCACGTGTCCTTTTTGTGTCGCGGGAGCCAAACTCAACCTCAAACCGCGCAAACAAATGACAGAACTGACGGAACGCTCACGTTACTAACGGGGAAATTCCTTTATTAACGGAAACGTTACGTCGGTAATGGAAAGTTACGCCGGTTTCTCCGAACGACCGAAAACACTATGATACTTCTACGTCAACAACCACCCTTACTGACGGAAAGGGGTTACGTCAATAACGGAGAATTGCGTCGGTAATGTGCACCAGCTGTCGCCGGAGAGGGGCGAAGGGCAGGACTGGTGAAGACCAGGGAGGGGATTAAGGAGGCGGAGGAAGTCAGAGGATAAGGGCGGGAGGAGGAGCTGAGGCTCAATTTTTGAATCAGGGCAACAGGCGAGCCGCATCGAAACAAAAACTACTCCTGCGGGGCCCCGACGAGGCCCCGCAACGCTTGCTTGTGCGCACTGCTGACTGCCAAGAGCTGCGAATTACCGGCGGAGCTTAGGATAGTACACATTGGGCTAACTCACGTTCGGAGGATCATCGAAAGAGGCCAGCATGCATGTGCGTCAGGCAACTCTACAGCATGCTGGGCGGAATGCTCGACATGAACAACAGGGTGTCCATGAAACTCGTATGGTTGGCCATGATCATCCAGTGGCTTGTACCCCGAATTGTGGGCGACGGCCTCGGCATCGCAGGCCGCCATCTTGGCCTGTGTCTCCATCAACTCCTTGTCCGATCTGCGATCGGTCGTGCAACGAATCCACGGCGCAAACAGGAACGCTACCCTCCATACTGTCCCAATGATTACCAGCGCGCTGCCCTGACATAAGTTCTTGAGAGTCCGAGGAGGCTGGCGAGCTTAACGAGCGCGCAGCATGTTGACGAGCAAAGTGATTCCAAAACTCGCCTGGCACATGGCCCCTAACATCGCCCCCATTCCTCCGGCAGCAAGTCCCTCCGGACACAAAATCCCAGAGGATCGCGCGCCCGCATCGCTTGAGCAGCAATGGCAACGAGAAAATGGGGGTCGGCAACCAGGAGCGGCAGGAGGGAACGCGTGACAGCAAAGCGCCACCAAACAAAGTGCGAAGATGACGGCCGCGCAATATTCACTTGACCAGTCCCTCACCACCACCAGATTGCGCTGGCGACAACTCCTCACGTTGCCCCCCCTGGTTCTCGGGCCACAGCGACGAAACTGTCCGAAATTCAAGCACCTCGAACCCTTCCTCCTGGAAGAGCCGTGCCGACTCGCGCTCGTGCCGCTGGCAGCAAGGCTGAACCTAAACGGTGTTTTTTCCTTTTCGTTTTGTTTCCGTTTTCCCTCGTTTTGTCTTACCGCAAAACAACATCGAACCGACAACTGCCCACGAAATCGCCCAAACACCGTTTAGGTCCAGCCCTGGCTGCCAGCATGCACCGACGAGCCTCGACCGTCGACCGGCGACGACGAGGCAGCGCGCCTTGGTCTCGGAGAGCTGCCCGAGCAGGGACGCCACGGCCGCGTCCCCGCCGCCCCCGCCCTCGCCCGTGCGCGCCCGCTTGAGGCGGTCGCGGAGGTCCACCACCTTCGCCTTGGCCACCTCCGAGGGCCGGCCCCGGGCGAGCGCGAGCGCGGCGTCGTCGGCGGGGGCGAGGAGCGTGGGATGGGCGGAAAGGAATGGGGGGAGAACGAGGGAGCGAGCGAGCCGTGCGCGCACGCGCGAGCGCAACGTGAAGCAGGACGCTGCGATGTCGAATTGCGGCGCTGCGCGATGCTCGGGCGCCACGATCTCAGCGCCAATTCCCACGATGCTGCCGCCCCGCCTGCTTGGCGGAAGCATGCGGACAGCGCGTCGCTGGAGTCAGCGACTTCGAGAAAGTTGTCCAGTAACTCCAGGTGAGGGAGCAGAGGGAGGACCCCAACCTCCAAAGCGGATCACGGCGTCTTCGTCGAAGTCGTCAGCGTTTCTAGAAAGTTGTGGGCGTTCCTGGAGCCTCTCGTCGCCACGCCTGGGCGCAGCTCGAAGACACTGGCCAGGACAGACCCTGAAAGAGGTCCGGGGCCTTGTTTTGAACGGATTTGGGTCAGACAACCAAATTCTTCTGCAATTGCCTTTGATGTTATACTATTTTCTGGAACCTCCAATGTTTGAAATCCAGACGGATTTCTTTTGCAATGTTCTGTGCCAGGGGGCCGTTCCTGGGCGCGGGGACTTACAGCTAATGCCCAAGACAAACAACTCGTCACTGGGAAAGGTTTGAGAGGCCTGGGGGATGCCCTTTTGGAAACATCACAGCATCCGAGGTGGAGGAGAGTGGAGGGGAGGGGAGGGCGAGGACGAGGGGGGCTGATGCTTTTTAGCAGCCTCTTGCGGGCACCTGGGGTCCCAGAACTATCTGGCGACAGATGGTCCAATGCTGAGTGAAAGCGGGTTCAGCCTCGAGGTCTTCCTCGGAAGAATGGGGGTGGGGATGGAAAGATGTGGAGGGCCCGAGTGGGAGAGAGTGATAGAACAGTGTCGAGGACGAGACCCCCCATTACCAGCTGCTCCCCTCCCCCTTGTCCCCCCCCCACCCCATTTTTCGTGGACCTGGGGCAGTTCGGTCGACGCTTCCTGACGCGTACGTGGGTCGGGCCGCTCGGGGGAAGACAATGTAGCCTAGAACAAGAGCAATTCGATCGCCGATTCTTGCCGCGCACGTGGGCCGGGAACCTCGGGGGAAGACTGCGCCGGTGAACAGACCACGTCACGCGAGGGCAAGGAAGCACGAGCACCGACGGCGCCGAAGACGGGCGCGCGCATGCTGAGTGGTCTGGACGGACGCCGACCGGTAGCAGAGGGAGAGAGGGAGGAGGCAAGGCATTGCCGATTACCGTGAAGCCAAGTCGGGCGTTCGCTAACGGGAGGGCGATAAGCGTGGGCTGAAGAAGCGTGTACCTTTCGTGCACCTGTCAGTGCATGGTGGCAGTTTGGAGGTCGGTTAGGGCCCCTTTCGGGCCCCTTTCGTGCCATCCTAGATCCCCCCGTGATGATTGCCCCACCGTTGTCGCCCGCCCGACCAAGAGGCTGCTCTTCCTGCTCTGCGGGCTCCGACGTCCCAGACCTCTGGCGGCTCGAGCCCATCGCGCCCAGAACGTTTCAACAATTTGGAGGCCGTTTCCCAGCCACGGAGCCGAAGGGATAAGAAGCCCAGTGGACGGATACTCGAACAATAGCCGCGTCGACGCAAGTCCAAGATTCAACCTCCTGCGCGCCTGATATCCGACGTCTGGGAAAAAATGAAACATCATCAAACTCATCATCCCTGCTTGAGACCACGCCTTTCTGCTGCATTTCTCGATCTTGACCTGGATCGATCTGTGAGAGCCCTGGGGGCCGAAAGCCAATCGAAATCACCTGGTGCGAAAAATGTGGTGCATGGATCTCGAAGATCGCCTCCTCCTCTTCCTCGCCGTGGTCGTGGTCGTCGTCCTCCCCCTCTGGGAAAATAATAATCCTGATGGAGGACTTGGGCCCAAGAACTTTCACCACGGCCGCCGAACTGAACACCTCGCCGGTCACACGCCTTCCTCGTGGCTCCACAGAAGGTCTTCCTCGGCCGCATACTTCGGCCCCCCGCAGGCGCAAGGCGACATGATCGTGGCCTCCTCCTCCTCTTCCTCGGCATCTTCGGACTTCTGACGCGGTGATCTCAGGGTCCACCTCCTCCTCCCCTTCCCCCTCCCTCCCTCTCCCTCCATCCTCACTCCCCCTCCCTCCTCCCCGATTTGCTTCCCCCCACTTTTTGGTATCAGCCGCTTTGCCTCATCACATCAATGCGAGGCACCATCATTACGGCTGGACCTCGTCATTATCAGTATAACCGAACAAATCTACTACATGAGAGAAATCGACGTAGGCTCAGTCTTTATCTGGGTGAAAACCTCTCCCCATTTCTTGCAGTTCTTGCGGACAATCACGGCATGGGGCTTGCAAGGCTTGCTGAGACCCACAACCTGAGCACCACTGTATTAAACATGTGCAATAAAGGCACAGAAAATATGATATACATCCAGACAAGGAAAAACGATAGCTTTATGCCTGAACTTCTCAAAAGCACGCTGGCACACTTTAAGCCGGCCCAGGCGCACACTGTCGGGAGGAACGGTTTTCCACCAGATGGTGGAATCGAGCGCTTCCAACGAGCGGCCCAGAAACCAGGACGGGTTTGTGCGGCGGCGGAGGAGCACGAACAGTGCCTTTGATCCGGTGAGAGGACACCCGAGACTAATAGCAGCTTCCAATCTCAAAACATGTACAATCTTCATCAAGCTCTGAGTGCGCAACAACCATGTTTCTCGAACGCACACTTGGCATCTCGGTCGGCATGGAATTTGCCAGGCCTCAACGTCCTCCCATGCGAACTGTGCCTTCTGTATTCGTGCCAGAATGGACCTTCGCCTTAGTACGCGATCGAAGGCGAGAACCGAACAGATGGCGCGCCTGCGCGACAGCACCTGAGTACGGCTGCTTACACAAGAGCGCCACTGCCTCGGGAAGAGTGCATTGCACAATGATTGTTTTGCAGACAGCAAAAAATCAGCCTCGTGCGACGCATGTAGCGACGACCAAACCAACGCGTTAAACTAAGCCCCTTGGCCCTTGGGCCGTCTGCGGACACGGGGCCCAAACGGGCCCGGGGATTTCACAATGGAGGGGCCCGTCATTGGACACCACGGCCAAACCCCGGAAACTCGTGGAAAGCTCGCAGACAAGATTCAGACGGCTCGCCCCCCCCACCCCCACCCCCCCTTTCAAACAACAACAGAGCAGAACCCCCAAGGCCATCAGACGAAGGTAAGGGGGGGGCGGGGCGAGGACCGAGGAGGACGTCCACATGCCATTTGATCTCGGCTCCACCCTCGCGAACAGGCCCTGGGGTCGTATCGCGAGGATGTTGTAACGCGCCGTGCAAGACTGAGACAACGTGGTGCCCTCATGCCGATGCGCCGCGGGCTGCTGCCTGAATCCAAGCCAGCACGCGCTCATCTCTTACCTCTTTGATGCGGGGGCATTGCCAATTCCCGATGCGATTAAATAGCGCGCCGCGCTGGCAGTCGCACAGGGCGCATAATTAGAGCCAAAAGGGAGAGGTAGCCAGCAACGGCGACATCTGCAGCCGTCCGGAAGCCGTTGCACGCGAGGGCTCTGATCATTCCTTTCCCATGCTTGGAAGTTTTTTTTGGGGGGGCTAAAGCGCATGGCGTCGCCCAAGCAGAGGCGATGCCCCACTCCATGTGCCCCCCAAAGTCTCTTTCCAACTCGCGCCGCGCAACTTCTTTGCGCGACATATTGACCGTCTGAAGGGAAATGGTGGTCAAGCTGATATCCCCGCCGGAACCACCCTGAAACGCATCGGAACCAAACGCGGTCCAACCTGGGCGATGAAATTGCACTGCGAACGCGGGCATCGGTCCCGAAACCTTGCTTCAACTGAGATCGCCCGTGGGGAAAATTGACTCCCGGCCGGCGCGCGGCTCTTCGAAATACAGGCACCACTCGAGCCCGCAAATCTGGCGCAGCCAAACCTCGCGAACACGCCTCGGGATCAGGGTGGCCGCCGCTTACAGGGGGAGAAAAGGCCTTTCGAGCGGTGGAAGGACAGCTGGGCATCTGCGCTGTGACCGCGCGCGAACGTGCCGTGCCTGCCGCCGAGGGGGCGCGCTGGCTGGCGCGCGGGGTGATGTGGGGGGGGGGGGGGGGGCGCGCGGGATGGGGGCGGTGCCGTGCCGAAATAAAGGGTCGGGGCGGAGGGGGCGGTGCCGTGCCGAAAAGAAGGAGTCGGGGGGGGGGGGGGCTGGCGGAAGGGGGGAGGAGGGGGCGCGCTGGCTGGTGGGTGGGGGGGTAGCAGGGGAGCGCGCGCTGGCTGGTGGGTGGGGGGATGCGGTTGGGGCGCGCGGGATGGGGGGGGCGGTGCCGTGCCGAAGAAGAGGGTCGGGGCGGAGGGGGCGCGCTGGCTGGATGGGGTGATGGAGGTGGCGCTCGGGATGGGGGAGGCGGTGCCACGCTGAAATACAGGGGTCGGGGCGGAGGGGGCGCGCTGGCTGGTGGGCGGGCTGATGCAGAGGGGGCGTCCAGGATGGGGGGGCGGTGCCGTGCCGAGGGGTCGGGGCGGGGGGGGCGCGCTGGCTGGTGTGTGGGGTGAGAGGGGGCGCGCGGGATGGGGGGGGGGCTGTGCCGCACTGAAATAAAAAAGGTCGGGGCAGAAGGGCCGCGCTGACTAGTGGACGGGGTGATGTGGAGGTGGAGCGCGGGATGGAAGGGGCGGTGCCGTGCCGAAATAAAATGGCCCGAGCTCTAGACGTCCTGTGGAAGAGAATAAAATGACTGGGGCGGTGAGGGCGCGCCGGCTGGCGGGCGGGGGGATGGCGGCGCGGGCGCGGGGGCGTGCCAAAGTAAAAGGGTCGGGGCGGGGGGGGCGCGCTGGCTGGTGGGTGGGGGGGTGCGGAAGGGGCGCGCGGGATGGGGGGGGGGGGAGTGCCGTGCCGAAATGAAAAGAGTAGGGGCGGGGGCGCGCTGGCTGGTGGTGTGGAGAGGCTGCCGTGCCGCAGTGGAACAAT